TCCTGAGCACCTTGCTCCCCCCACTGGGGATCAAGCCCATAACCTAGGGATGTGCCCTGGGCCGGAATTGAACCTGGGACCCTTCAGTCCACAGGCCAATGCTCTATCCACTAAGCCAAACCGGCTAGGAACAATCTGTATTTCTTAATCTCTTCACCTGTTTTACCATCCTCCCCACCCCATTTTCCTCTGTCAACTGTCAGTCTGTTCTCTGCATCTATGAGTCTGTTTCTATCTTGTTTATTTTTTTCAAAAGGAATTAAAGTTTATAGTAGAGTCATTGGTCAGAATAGAGAAAAACTTTATTCTTGGCTAGTAAAAAAACAGGCTCCTGTCAGGTTTATTTATTGGGCTGCTGCAACTCCTTGCCAGTAAAATAGCTTTTATGCATTTAGCTCTTTCTCGAGAGTAGCTTAAAAGGACATAAAATTTTAAAAATTGAATATATATAGGCATACACATCCATGTATATGTAAATAAAATCCTAGAACACATAATGACTTGAAAAGCAAGCCTAAAAAATATTGTGAAACTGGGCAGGTCCGTTGTCTCGGTTATTCTGTGTACCAGTTCTGCCTGCCAGTTGCTCTGACTTCTCTTTCCAGCAGAATCATTAATTTGGGTGTGGCCAAACTAGACGTTGAAGTGCTATGAATAATTGTCCAAATAAAAGGTCAATTTTTCCTACCATTAAAAAGATTTTTCTTGGTGACCCTCATACAAAATTCAGGAGAAACGAAAGAAGGAAACAAAAGTTAGCACTACTGTGTGCCTACTAAGCACCAAGCATTATGGCAAAGTCACTTAAAATACTGTATCTTATTTAATAATACATATGACTATCCCATGGAGTATCAGCTTTGCTACAGTCTGGAAATGTATGACTATAGTTAGGAAAAGCTATGGCTCAGTCATATTTCTGTGAGAATTCACCCAGGTTTTGAGAAGAGAATCAGGAAATCCTTTGGCTCATCAGCCATGCATTTATGATTCAGCTCTTCAGGGTGAATGACTTTATGCATTACTCTAACATTAACTAAATGCTTACTACGTGAGGGCACTGTCTAGGCCAGTGATGGCGAACCTATGACACGCGTGTCAGAGGTGACACGCGAACTCATTTTTTGGTTGATTTTTCTTTGTTAAATGGCATTTAAATATATAAAATAACTATCAAAAGTATAAGTCTTTGTTTTACTATGGTTGCAAATATCAAAAAATTTCTATATGTGACATGGCACCAGAGTTAAGTTAGGGTTTTTCAAAATGCTGACACGCCGAGCTCAAAAGGTTCGCCATCACTGGTCTAGGCATTGTGGAATCAAAGATGATTAAGACACAGTACTATCTTCAGGAAGCATGCAGTTCCCTGGGGGAGAGAGATAAACTAACCAAATTGTAAAGTGCAGACAGAACCGCACTTACAAGATTTATACTAGAAAAACTCTCATAGGGTGATGACCTTTCTTAATTTTGTCTTCAAAATCCAGGGGGCTCCCTGTTGTAGCCCATATGCAGTAATTGTGAACCATATGTAATTCAATGGTTCAAGAATCCGTCAGTGCAACATACGCAATAAATCTCAAAAACAACCTGTTAGATGACAGAAAGGGCAATGATGAGAAATGCCTACCTTACATCAAAGTATGCCAGGAAGGAAATAATGATAAGCCCCTATTATATTAATTATTTTATATTAAATTTAAAACATCTAAAAATAATTTCATATCATTAATGGATTTAATAAGATTAGAATTTCAATTTTCTTAAAACAAAAACAAATCTTATATTGGAGTTTGTTTCTCACTGAAGCTGAAAGTTCTATCTAGAAAACCAACATATCAATAACAAGATTTGGGGAAATTTCAATGTATAAAGTATCATAAATGTATTAGGAAAGCAGTGGGGTCGGGGGGGGGGGAGAGAAAGATCAATGTGAGAGAGAGACACTCCCCGACAGGGGCTAAGAATAGAACCTACAACTCAGGTAGGTACATGCCCTTGACTGGGAATCGAACCAGAGACCCTTTGGTGTGCGGGTCAACACTCTAACCACTGAATACTCCAACCAGGGCAGTAATACTTTTTAAAAAACAAAATACATCTAGAATACTGTTCCTGAAAAAAATTTATTTATATAAATCCATGTGTTTATTAATGTTGAATACCACAAGAGGTACCTAGTACCATCTGTGAATACTCCTCACTTATTTAGTAGCACCTACTACTGCACGTGAACAGGCTAATTTAATTTCTCGTTTCAGTATTCTCCATACAACACTGGGAAGGGTAAGAAGTGTCCAAAGCACCTGGCCCATTTCAACATGGCCCCCACTCTCATCACTATTCTTTAATCAGGGTCACTCACACAAAGCAATAAAGTTCACTTTCCGAAACCATAATTTTATGACCATTATATTCCATTTTCAAACAAAAAAATAACTTTTTCTTTAAATCTAAAATAGCTTTTAAATGCTTCTTAAGGGAAAAGAGAAGTCTTTGTACCGATTAATTGGCTGCTCTTAAATAACATTACACCTCTGTTCACTGTTATCCTTTCTCCTCTTAAATAAAATTTAAAAAGCCAATTTATTTATAATATAGCTCGCTAAGCAAAATGTAAATCCTTCATATACCTTAAAGCTTCACGGGAACATGTTTTCATATTCTTTCCACTAAACCATGCTTCTTTCCTTCCTCAAGACATTGCTTAACATTTTAGGGGAAAGGTATAAGTAAGCCGGAAGGGTGCTTATTAGCATCGGCATGTAAGTAATTCGAGCCGGTATGTTAGGAACATGTTAGGCATCAGGAAGTTACAGGCATTTACTTCCACAAGACCTCTCTGGATCCAGTTCAACGTGGAGGCCTTTAAGAGTACTTACAACTCAAGTTAAAGCACAGACGAGTGGGCTAGAAACCAAGATTTTGGACTGATCCACTAGACTTTTGAAGCTACTTCTCTGGATTCATACTTATATCAAATCTGTCTACCCTGTCTGGAAAAGTAATGAAGAACAGGTGCATTTAAAAGGTAAATTATTTTCAATATTTCTAGTAGTTGCCATTATCCTCTTTTAAAACCTTTTCCTAGCAGATTTTGCCTGTGATTCACAGGTAAGGCCAATTAACACAAGCTACTTGGCATCTTAACAAACCAGTTAGGCAAACTTGCAGTCCCTTTAAATTAAAAAGGCCCCCTGTGAGACTGAGACGGCCCCTGGGAAGCTGAGAAAAATACCACATGAACTCACTCATTTATGGATAATAAGAAACATTATAGACTGATGAACAAAAATGGGTACAGAGGCAGAGGAGCATTGAGCAGAGTGTCAAACTACAGTGGGAACCCTGGGGAGGGTTGGGGGGAGTAGGAGATCAACCGAAAGACTTATATGCATGCGTATGAGAATAACTAATGGACACAAGACACTGGGGGGTGGGGGAAGCCAGAGGAATGTCAAGGGGGAGAAAAAGGAGACATGTGTAATATGTCTTTAAGAGATAAAAATTAATTAATTAATTAATTAAAAAGGAAATTTTTATTCAAACTTGTGAATTGATTCTCTAATCTCTATTTAATCTTCAGAAATTTTAGGAATAAAAGATCATGCTCAGATTTCAGTAAACTTACAGAGTTAGGATTTGATGATTTACCTCAAAAATAACAAATGAGCAGTCATATAAATATTCCCAAAAGTTTTCTGTTAATGTAATGTGTTTTCTTACAGTAATATTCAAATTTCAAATATGCCTAATGCCCTGGGAATTCCTAATTTTAAACCAAATATTGTAACCATAGTTTGAGAACTACATTTAGTATTTAGAAAACATTTCAACTTCTTCACTCACAGTATTTACTCTTCAACTTTTCCCCTACAGACTGGGAGAAAAAAACGGATGTTGTAGTGCTGACCAAAGGGTACCTATGAATGACAAAACTGACTGCTTAGGAAGGAATAAGAGCCACGGTACAAAATCAAAGGCAGTGGCCATAAGTATGTACAGTTTGTTACATGAGTCTATAGAAACCATAACAGATTTCTGATAAAAGAAATAATTTAGTGACTGAGCATTTTAAAAACATTTTAATACTTTCAAAGCAAGTTCACAAGTTATCATT